GGTTTCGGATAATAAAAACTCCTACTTTTCGAGTCGATTCGGGTCGGATCAACGGATCGGGTTGTAATTTGCCAGATCTACACGGCTGCAACGACATGACAGCCATGGTGCATAGGATCATAATAATAATATAATAGTAATGCTTATTGAGTACAAAGGTAAGACAATAATATTAGTAGGACTACTCAATAAAATATGGCAGTGCAGTTATGTTTTTTCTATAAAATATTAGGGTAATGATTATTTATTAGTAAAAAAAATTTATGATTCTTTTTTATTAGTCAAACATATCGAAATATTAAAAATTAAACATATGTTAGCTTCCATTTGTAATATTAATTTGACAACATGATACTGATTCGGAAGAGACACATTCCATTTGTAATATTGATTTGACAACATAATACTGATTTGAAAGAGACACATGAAGATCAACAGTTCAAAATTTTAATATTTTAACTAAGAAAAGAGTTACAAAACTATTACTGACAATATAAATATGACTAATATTTTTTTATGTATTATAAAAGATTTGATCAATCAATAGGATTTTAATAAGTTTAGATAACATAAAAAAAATCCAAAAAAAAAGTTTAACCAATAAAAGGTCTGGCAACGCATGGCACTAGTAAGTATAGGTGTCAAAACAGAACCCGACCCGAGTAACCCGCTCGATCAACCCGACCCGCAACCCAAATTGACTAAAAGTCAATGACCCGCAACCCGTCCAACCCGTAACCCGATTGACCTGTAACCCGATTGACCCGCAACCCAATTAACCTGCAACCCGACTGACCCGAACACGATTAAACCCGTAACCCAATTAACCCGAACCCGATTGACCCGAAATTGACTAACCCGTGACTCGTTCGATTGACCCGAATAATTACTATATTATATAATATATAGTATTTCAAAATGAAGTATTTTTCTAAACTTAGGTAAAGCCATTTTCATTTTATAAAAAAAAGTTCAAAATATTAAATTTACTTGAAATTATATATTTTTAATAAAGTTACAAAAATTAAAACGTAAAGTTCATTTTAAGTTCTTTAACAAAGTTAGAAAAATATGAAGTTCTTTTTAAGTTCTTTAACAAAATTACTAAAATATATTAGCAAGCAAACTAAATAACTAACTTCGACTATATTAAATTTAGGTCTTTAATATTTATCAAGCAAACCGAACTTCGCACAGCTCAACCTTGATCCCCATTAATAAAATTCAAGCTCAAGCTTGACTTAAATAGAAAAATGTCAGAGCTCAATCTCAATAATAGATTATTAACAAGGTCATCGAGCCCTACACTTAGAGCCCAACTAATATTTGGCTCAACGTTATTGGGCCAATATTTAGACCTAAACTAGTAGCCCATACAATGGACTACCTGTTAGAACTCTTGGACTTAATTCAACAAGGCAATGCCACCCATTATTATATAGTTGGTGGGTGAGGTGTGATTTTGTTTCTCCAGCGATATGGTATAACAAAACAGGAGCAGTAAACAAGCAGCACTGCAACAACAGCTCGGTTTGGCAGCAGAATAGAGCAGCACAGCAGCAACTCAGGCATTCATTTCTTCTCCCCTTAAAGGCTTTGATGGAGTTGAGACGGAAGGCAAACAATTGGTTCCTCACTATGAAATATGAATCAATACATGAACCCGACAACTTCCACCACTAATTACTCTACTGTCCAAGTCCAACACCATCACAATTAGCTCGTGAGGACAATTTGTGTTGAGGATATTAATTACTTAGTCAAAATGTAATTAATTCTTTGTCCAACAAGTTCCTTGTTTCCTTGTCCGGGTAAAAGAGGGAACTTGGTTGTCTTTAGGGTTTTAACCCTAAGTCATTCTCTATAAAAGCTTAGTTATGGTTCTGTCCTAAGCAAGCCGTCACAATGTAGTCTCTAATAAAATATCAGTCGTGAGCTCGTTCCGAGCTCACCATGGATTAGTCTCGATCAATCAATCGATCGAGGATACCACGTAAAATATTGTGTTCTGTGTTCTTTCGTATTTCCGCATATCAAATTCTACAATTTGAGCTAGTGAGGGACATGCTCCTGACCACGTTCATGCTACTGAGAAGGCGATTTGAGCCAGCTTTAGGGAGATGATCACCTGTACTGTCTAAACAACAAAATATCACTAATGGATGTAGATTAGAACTAACTGCACTTCAATTTCACTGGTTTGAAGTTGTACGTTAGAGGTTCACGAGCTCACTTGTAACTTGTAAGTAAACAAAGATTAAACTAAGACCACACTCTAAATGATCCCACAAGGAGCTTATTTCCATTTTAGAAGTTGAAAAAGTCAGCTCCCCTCTCATCCATTCCTCAACCCGAATTTACTATTCAAGTGACTAACAACATATACTAATTTAATTATGGCTAGAGGGTTCAATATCAAGAGTTTAGGATATAGGGTTAGGGTTTAGGATATAACGTAATGATTAGTGTCACGATTCAAGTTGCAAACAACATATACCAACTTAATTATGGGTTTAGGGTTCAATATTCAGGTTTATGATATAGGGCTAGGGTTCATGGTTTAGGGTATAGTTTAATAAAAGAATAATGAGGTAACACTACAAGAAAACTGTTTTTCTAGTCACTGGATCTTATGCACATGAATTTTTCCAGTACTAAAATGTACACAAAAATTTACGAGACAATTTCCATAACTAATTGTATCATTTCGTTTGAGTTAATTTATATTGCCGCCCAAAAATGTTGAGATAAGAAAAATTATTTTTCTTCTTTGTTTTATAGAGTGGTGTTTTGTTTTAAGAATGTATAATTTCTTGTAGTGTCTATTAGTTGAAAATGTTGATATCACCTTAGCTAGTTACTTTACTAATTACGATTAATTACATGACAAGTTTCCAAGTCATACAAATTGATTTAAAATTTTGGAAAGCTTTTTTTTAACTTTTTAAGTAAATATACGAGGTAGAAAGAAGTTGAAAATTGTGGAAAATGTTTTAAATCAGTGTTATAAAATGTGTAAGTTGTAGTAACGACTAACGATTAAGAAGTAACTCGATGCGCTGACCCGAACAACCCGCAACCCGATCCGCCCGCAACCCATCCTACCTGCAACCCGATGAACATGCAACCCGATTGGCGATGAACCCGACCCCGATGAACCCACAACCTGAATAACCCGCAACCCGACTAACCCGAACCCGATGTCCCGCAACCCGACTAACCCACAACCCGATGTCCCCCAGCTGCCCGTGTGAGTGCCCAAACGCGGAGTTTCGATTAGTGGGCAACCAGGCAAGCTGCACGGGCAGAGGCCACACGGCCGTGTGGCTCCCCAGGCTGCCCGTGTGGCTTTTACCGAGCCTTCACACGGCCACAAGGGGCCCCTACATGGCCGTGTGAGGTGCAATGGTGCCCGTGTGGCTTCCCAGCTTCTCGATGATAAACCGTTAATTGCACATGTTCTTACCCATATTCTGGAGCCGTTTGAGATGTTGATTCTCGTGTTTTAGGCCAATTTCACGCTAGGTTATGCTTGTTTGTGATATTTCAGGTTCTAGTACGTGAATGAAGGTTTGGGAGCGAGTTCGGGGTCAATTGATAGACGATCGGGCGTGAGGCAAGTCGCTGAGAAAGCCACACGGGCACACACAAAACACACACGGTCGTGCAAGTAACCAATGTGGCCGTGTGGGATTGTGCGAGCCTTCACGCGGGCAGGAATAAAACCCACATGGCCGTGTGAAGGAGCAATGTGGCCGTGTGGGATATTGCGAGGCTTCACACGGGCAGACTGGGTGAGCTACACGGCCGTGTGTCCCTGGCCGTGTAGGCAGCCTGAAGTGCAATTATTGGAAACGCGGCGTTTTGACCTCACACGGGCATCTGGGTATGCCACACGGCCGTGTGGCCTGGCCGTGTGATCGGGATTTTCTGGGTTTTACCCAATTTTGGGCCACAAGTGAGAGAATCGAGTTTTCAGAGCAAAAACAGAGCCCTAGGGAGAGAAAGTACGAAGAACACATCCTAGAAGCAATCTTGGAGCTGGGTTTCATCAAATCGAGCTTGGAGATCGTCATAGGAGTGGAAATCATCATCCCAGAGCAGATTCTTCCCATTGTTATGAGTATGACTGCTTTGTATTCTGTTTTCCTCTCTCTCTATGGAGTAGAACCCTTCTCTCACTTGGGTATGAAGAACCCTAGTTCCATGTGTTAGGGATTTGATTGTAATGACTTGGGATGATTATACTGTTTGGTTTTAATCGGATGATGCATGTTTTATTGAATTGATTGAAGTCTGATCAGCTTTTCTTGATTTGTGCTGCAACCTGAGATAGATAGAATCTGATTAGGTTGTTAGAGCCTCTTCATTCGGTAGTAGGAGATTGGCTATACGAGAGTTAGCCAGTTTAATGCTTTGTACTGGAATCAAATTCCAGTAGTGGAGTTCTGCGTTTACTGCTTCAGCTTTCTATCCCGGTGAAGACTAGTCGTCTGCTGGGTAGTTAGACTGAGAGGGCTTGGTCAGCTTAAGAGATTCCAAGCTACTGTCGGATCTTCCGCAGTCTAATCAACAGTAAATCAACCCAGGGTAATTACAATTGAGACCTAACTAAGGAGCTAGGGGGACTCATTCCCGAGTGACACTTCTTTGCTTGAGAAAACCGTACCGATTCCTGCTTTCTTACTGCTTTTGCTTAAAACAACAATCACTTGACTTAGTTGGCTAGATAATAGATAATCACGGAGTAAGCAGTAGATCTAGACCCCGAGTTGATAATAGAACTTGCCACTTTACTGCATTCCCGGACTGCGATTACACTTGGTCGCAGTTTGGTGTTGTGTTTTGGCGTGTCAAGTTTTTGGCGCTGTTGCCGGGGAAAGTCTAGGTTATTGGGGAAACGTGAAAATTTGTTACTCTAGCTTCTTCTTTACTGCATTTTATCTCTTCCACTTGTGTGCCTTCATGGGTTGCTTCTGCTGATTGTGTGCAGGTAGTGCATGACCCGTAGCCAGTCGGGAGATCTACTACCATTAGACCAGGAGCTTGAACGAACCTGCATGAACTTCAAGCGGGCTCTAAAGGCGCGACTGGATGCGAAAGAAGAGCTAGCACAGCTGCAGATCAAAGAAGAAGAAGAAGAAGAGATGGGGGATCCACAGGACCATGATGTGGTCCTTCCTGAGGAGCAGACCATGGGATATTACTGGACCGCAAGGGCCGCAGACATGAGGTCACCAATTCAACACCCTCATGTCCCAGCCAACAATTTTGAGTTGAGCACCTCAGTAATCACCATGCTGCGCGGTTTAGTGGTGTTCCGTGGCAAAGAAGGGGAGTGCCCCCGATCACATCTCAGGCGATTCCACGAGCTCATCGATGGAATCAAGATAAATGGGATCCCAGCAGATGCCATCAAGCTGAGGTACTTCCCATTCACCCTGGAGGGGCAGGCCAAGGAGTGGCTAGACACTCAACCTCCAGGCTCTATCACCACGTTCGCCAACCTGGCGGACAAGTTCCTCACCTGCTACCATCCTCCATCCATGACGGCGGACCTGCAGAAGCAAATTACCCATTTTGCTCAGGATGAGGATGAGACCATCAGGGATGCTTGGGAGAGATACACCAGTCTCTTCCTCAAGTGTCCCAACCATGGTTTACTGATGCCTTCAAGGTGGGAACCTTCTACCATGCTCTCTTCCCGGAGGACAAGCAGCTGATTGATTCGGTCTGTGGCGGGAATATGCTCACCAAAACACCGCCCCAGCTGAATCAACTTTTTGAGGAGATGGCAGAGCAGGGCTATGACTGGGGAACTGCGAGGAGATCGAGACGAGCACCTGAACGGGGTGTGCATGCTGTATCCACCCAGTCATCTGATCTGGTGCAGGTGGTATCGAAGCTGGTTTCAGCTATTGATCGTTCCGGGATGATTGCAGGTACCGGACAGTAGTGGTGTGAAGAGTTCTCATCACACCGTGGAGGATTGCCAGGCGATGAGGGAGTCTTCTACTCCCCAGGAGCAGCTGGACTTCATCGGCAATGCCAGGCGCTTCGACCCCTACAGCAACACTTACAACGAGGGGTGGCGCCAGCATCCCAACTTCTCCTGGGGTGGGGCAAATTCCAGACCACCAGTCCCCTAGGGACCACCTGGTTTCCAGAGGCCTCCTTACCAGCCCCGACAAGGGCAATTTCAGCAGCCACAGCAGCCACTCTACCCGCCCAGACAGGGGCCAGTTCCACCTCAGTCACAGGTGCGGCCACTTCAGCAGACAGGGGCAGCACCTGTAGCCCCAGCGCAGAGTGACCCGATGGTGGAACTGCGAGATCTGGTGGGTTCTCTGGCCACCTCCAGTGCAAACAAGTTCAATAACATCGAGCAGTTTATGGAGAAAGCTTCAGGAAAATTCATGGAGCTAGAATCTGGTCAGAGAAACACGCAGGCTGTGCTTCGGGATATCCAGACCCAGCTTGGGAGTGTTGCCCAGGCTGTAGCTAAGAGGCCTCCTGGTACTCTACCCGGTCAGACCATCCCTCATCCGCAGAACCCGAATGAGCACTGCGGGGCCATTACCACCAGGAGTGGCAAGGTGACTGCCGATCCACCTGTTCGGGCAGAGGAGAGAGAGACCCCTGCTTCAGCACTTCTAGCTAATGAAGAAGAAATGGAGAAGGAGGTTGATGTGCCTGCTCCTAAACCGCAACCAGTGGTGAAGGAGTATGTACCCCTGCTCCCCTTTCCTACTCGGTTGCACAAGGACCGTCTGGAGATTGAGTTTGCCAAGTTCATGGCAATGCTGAAGCAGGTGAATATAAGCATGCCCTTCGTGGAGGCACTATCGAAGATGCCCAAGTATGCCAAGTTCATGAAAGATCTCCTCACCAACAGGAGGAAACTTGGGGAGCTGTCAACGGTGATGCTCAACGAAGAGTGTTCTACCATCATGCAGAACAAACTACCAGAGAAGCGAAAAGACCCAGGGAGTTTCACCATCCCTTGCATGATTGGTAGTTTGCATATAGGGAAGTCCTTGGCGGATTTAGGCGCTAGCATAAATGTCATGCCATATAAACTGTTTAAAAAGCTAGGCCTAGGTGAACCCAGTGATACTAGGATGAGCATTCAACTTGCTGATAGATCCATTGTGCATCCTAGGGGTATTGCAGACGACTTGATAGTCGCAGTAGGGCCATTCTCTTATCCTGTTGATTTTGTGATTTTGGACATAAATGAGGACGTGGATGTGCCATTGATATTGGGTAGACCTTTTCTCGCCACCGCCAAGGCGGTCATTGATGTGAATGATGGAAAACTGATTTTGCGAGCTGGGGGTGAACAAATCACCTTCTCTGTTTCTGATAATATGAAACACCCCCAGCTCCATGATGATCTAGATTACTGTGATGTTGTTGCTGATTTTGAGACCGCACTCGCCATGATTTCCTTGAGCGTTGTCTTTTGCTAGGGGAACAGGCATCACAGGACATGCAGCTGGAGGAGCAGCTCGCGGAGCTAGACGAGGTCGCGATCGAGGGCCGAGAGATACCATTCAAGCCGATCCCTATCTCGCCCCGGATTGCACATCATTGGAGGAGCCACCAGAGCTGGAGCTTAATCCCCTCCCCTCTCACCTGGAGTATGCATTTCTCCGGGAGGGGAATAAGCTCCTGGTCATTATCAGCTCGGATCTGACACCCGAGCAGAAGAGCAGGCTGATGGCTCTGCTGCAGAAGTATGCCCGGGCCATGGCATGGAAGATCACAGATATCAGAGGCATTAGCCCATCCTTCTGCTCCCGCAGAAATCTGATGGAGGATGAGGTTAAGCCAGTCAGGCAGCCGCAGAGGAGATTGTCTCCTAACTTGGAGGCAGTGGTCCGGGCAGAGATCGTGAAGCTCATGGATGCAGGGATCATCTTTGCTATATCTGATAGCAAGTGGGTCAGCCCTACTCAGGTGGTCCCGAAGAAAGGCGGGATGACTGTGGTCCCGAGTGAGAAGAAAGAGCTGATCCCGATGCGGACCGTGACCGGCTGGAGAGTCTTCATCGATTACCGGCGCCTGAACGACGCCACCAGGAAAGATCATTTTCCCCTACCTTTCATTGATCAGATGCTGGAGAGGTTGGCTGGTCATGAGTTCTATTGCTTCCTGGATGGCATGTCTGGCTATTTCCAGATTCTTATTGCACCTGAGGATCAGGCGAAGACCACATTCACTTGCCCCTTCGACACTTTTGCTTACCGGAGGATTCCATTCGGGCTGTGCAATGCACCGACGACCTTCCAGAGACGCATGATGGCGATCTTCGACCGACTGGTCGGGGAGATCATGGAAGTCTTCATGGATGACTTCTCGGTTTATGGAGACCCCTTCACTCATTGTCTTCATAACCTGGAACTTGTTCTGAAGAGGTGTGAAGAGACTAATCTGGCACTCAGCTGGGAGAAGTGCCATTTTATGGTCTGTGAGGGAATTGTGCTCGGGCACAAGATCTCCAAGCAAGGGATTGAGGTGGATCGCGCGAAGATTGAGACGATCAGTAAGCTACCTCCTCCCGTTTCTGTGAAGGGGATTCGCAGCTTTCTGGGTCATGCGGGCTTCTACCGGCGCTGCATTAAAGATTTCTTGAAGATTGCCCTGCCTTTGACCAAGCTGCTGGAGAAGGATGCACCATTCCAGTTCACTCCCGAGTGCACAGCTGCATTTGAGACTCTGAAGGAGAAGCTTACCCATGCACCTATCATGGTGAGGTGACTCCTGACTGGTCTCTCCCCTTTGAGCTGATGTGCGATGCGAGTGACTATGCAGTCGGAGCAGTTTTGGGTCAGAGACGCGAGAAGCACTTCCAGCCCATCTACTACGCGTCCAAGACCTTGAACGATGCACAAGAGAACTACACCACCACTAAGAAGGATCTCCTCGCTGTGGTGTATGCGTTTGATAAGTTCCGACCCTATCTGGTGCTCTCCCATGTGGTGGTCTACACTGACCACTCGGCGATTCGCTACCTGATGAGCAAGGCTGATGCAAAGCCTAGGCTCATCCGCTGGATCTTGCTGCTGCAGGAATTTGATATCGAAATCCGGGACAAGAAGGGAGCCGAGAATGTTGTTGCAGATCATCTTTCACGGTTGGAAGCCCCTCCGGTGGACACCTTCGTGGAAGAGATCAATGACTCCTTCCCGAGTGAGAGATTGCTGGTGATGCCACTGGTGGAAAGCGTGGTCCCTTGGTATTGTGACTTTACCAATTATCTGGTGGGCAAGCAGCTACCTAAGGGGATGGCCACTCATGCAAAGCGCAAGTTCTTCTCCGATCTGAAGCATTACTTCTGGGAGGATCCTTACCTCTTCAGGATCGGAGCAGATGGCGTGATCCGGCGCTGTGTCATGGAGCACGAGATGGGAGACATCCTGTCTCAATGCCACAAGGGACCTACTGGAGGTCACCATGGAGGAAACCGCACGGCGCGGAAGGTGCTACAGTCGGGCTTCTACTGGCCCTCGCTCTTCAAGGATGCAGACACCTTCGCACTACAGTGCGACCGCTGCCAAAGGTCAGGTAACATTTCTGCCCGGGATGAGATGCCCCAACATATTTCTGTCATTTGTGAAATTTTTGATGTTTAGGGTATCGATTTCATGGGCCCATTCCCTCCATCTTTTGGCAATCTGTACATATTGGTTGTAGTGGACTACGTCTCTAGGTGGGCAGAAGCTCAAGCCATGCCCAACTATGATGCAAGACGGGTCTGCTCATTTATGAAGCAGCTGTTCTCCCGGTTCGGGACACCCCGCGCCATCATTAGTGATAGAGGAACCCATTTTCAAGGGCAATTCACTAAAATCCTCTCTCGCTATGGTGTTAAGCATCAGGTGTCGGTGGCTTACCACCCCCAGTCAAATGGGCAAGCCGAGCTGACGAACCGGGAACTTAAACGGATAATTGAAAAGACGATGGATCAGTCCCGCAAGGATTGGTCCACCAAGCTTGATGATGCTCTTTGGGCATATAGGACGGCCTATAAGAAACCGATTGGCACTTCTCCCTATAGGCTTGTCTATGGGAAGGCGTGCCATCTGCCAGTAGAGCCAATGCAGTCAAAATCGCGCTTTAAAACTTAAAAACTTACGGTTTTACGCTTCTAGGTCACCAAAACGCTTTCGTTTCTATGTAAAAACTTTAGTGTATAAAATCATACTAAATTGCGCTTTAAAACTTTAAAACTTACGATTTTACGCTTCTAGTTCACTAAAACGCTTTACGTTTTTACGCTTTTACTTCACTGAATGGGTCTTCTTTTCATGAAATTAATTATAAAAAGTAAATTTTAAAAATAAATCACCGACAATATGCTACGTTTAAGATTAAAAGATACATACCAGATACTTGGATGCATTATGAACTTCAATAAAGTAATATAATTCACTATCTAGGCTCTTCTCAAATTCATTAGCATGGAGGGGAATGTGACTTTTTAATAAGATTTATATTTATGAACTTATTATTAATTAAGAGGCTATAAGTTGCTCTACTTTAGACATGAATTGCAAGTATTTGTTAACTTATCTGAATTTTGTGCACTCATAGTTTTCATAGTATATGTCGTACTTAACATATTTTTAGTTCTTTTACAGTATGCGTAAAAAATTTACGCTTTTACGCTTTAATTCTACGCTTTACGATTTTACCCCTTTTCCTCTTCTAGGTAGAA